TTACATATTATTGTCTTGAATTCTATTAAAGCATATAAGCAATTTACATCGCATAATAATTATTATCAGTTAAAAAAGGAGAAATATTTAGCTATAGGGAACATACAAATTACGAAAAATGTGAAACTGAAAAGATGATTAATAAAACTATAAATACATCTGAAGCGAATAGAAACTGTTGACCCGCTTTACAGACACAAAAACTAACTTAGCAGTAATCACAAACAGATAATAATAAAATGTAAACAAAAGCACGCTGACCCTCATAGCATAACAGGCAGTTAAAAATTACAACCTAAAAAATTATTTCTTTTTTTTCATGCTACCATTTATGATCTGCTTTACTTTCAAAATTAATTTCATCACGACGTAGTAAATGGACAGCGCTTATCACAAAAAGATAATGTCTAGAAAGTACTGCAAGAGATTCAATTCATCGGCATCAGAATAAGCGTAAAGAATTTGAAATATCTGTTATGAAGAAATATCATATATGATTCTTCAAATGCAAAAAGATGAAAAGATTACTGAGAGTTTTAGCTTCCTTTTCAAAAAAAAATTGGATAAATTCTTAACGTATTTGCTCAGAAAAGAGAATGAACATGTTTGAAAAGCAGCTCCTTCTAAAATAAATTACAATGAAACTGAAAATTTTCAAGTAAGATGCAACTTAGTAACAGAATTTCTAAAATATTTTAGATACCCTAGATCCAAATGAATTCCAAAACAACTTTCCATGCTTGTCCCAAAATCTAATGACAGTCACAGACCAGTAGACAAAACTTCTGCCAATATTAAACCGTAGGATTATACAGATCGTCACAATTACTGTTGTAAAATTTTTGATCAACAAAGCTCTTGTTTATCGGACTCTTGTCGAACTCTTGTTTATCGGTAAGCAAACCTAAACAACAATAACTAAAACTATTACGGAAAATGAAAGCACTAAACCAAATCAAGGAAAATCAAGGAATCGAAACAAGGTTTTGATCAAATCTGTCAAAGTAATTCTAGTTCCATCATATGGGAAGAACAACATACAACATTGCCTCTACCACGATGGCTTAACAGAGATATTGCACAAATTTCGTATAACATACAAGTATGGAAGCTAACCCGTTCAGAGATTTTGATCCTCGCCATCCAAACTGTTGTTCGCTCCGTGTCGTCATTGAAATCGGTATCCCTATATGAGAATGTAGTTAGTGATTCCGATGCAAATATAAATCACTTATTTCTTGATTTGACGATTTCATCCTCCAGAAGATTTTGTATACTCCTTTAGGGAGATTGATTTTACTTTGCAAAACATAATATCACTAATCAAACAAGAAATGTTAATTCTTCTTCCCGACAAATCCCTTGAAATCACCATCGATATTTCGAAGCATATAACAATCCTGAAACACAGATGGGAACAAAAAGAAAGCATTAAAATGTAGTAAATGACTGTAATTTATCAACACACAATAAAAGAATGAGCATTCATTTCTCTTCCAATTCTTCAACAACTACAAAAAAAGTTGTAAAATGTAAAGATTTCAGAAAATTTCCGAGATTAGTTCAGTTGAACTTCTATCGATATAGCGAATAGATCAAACCATTTTAATTAACATACGATAAGTTATGGAAGATATGGAAGATATCCGAGAGAAGCTATATTCAACCTATGTAGCGTTTACGTTTACGTTTTATCAACTGTTTGGTGAGAGTACGCTGACTTTAATCAAATAAATGACTCTTTCATTCCAAACATAATCGACAATAGTGACAAAAATATCGGCGACTTTACATATTAATTCAAAAAATGATGTTTATATACTAGCAATCAATATTGTAAACAGTCCCCGAGATGTACCACAAAAACTGAGAGATAAAAAGTTGACGTCAATGTTCGTAACTCACAATTCCCAGAAAGGAACCACTCCATCGAACCGCTCTAGCAAGGTAGCATACGTTTCTCAATTGACTGGTGACAACATAAAATGTCGCGCTGTTAGTCAATCAATGACAATAACAGATCAGCTACACACTGCATTACTGTTAAATACTTACAAATACACATACGTACACATGAACGTATCATTTTATCTGCCCTGAACTATTTGGAAGTACTGAATGATTGAAGTAATCAATCGCTTAGTACATCGAATGCACACTTCTAACTGCTTTGAAAAATGCATAGTTTCTATCTCAGTATTATGTATGGCATATTTACACCTCTGCAATACTTACCTATCTTTCAAATAAATTGAGCAGTTAGTTTGTAAAACAATTTTTTCATATATATTATTCATTTCCCAATTTTCCTGCCCTCTTAAAATACTATCCTTTCATTTCCTTTGTACTTTTCCTTTTCTTTTTCCCTCTTGCTACCAATTATTAATACTTTTCCATTTGTAGCAATTCAAAAATGTTATGACTTCGAAAAATATGTTAAACTCTTTTTCACCTTCTTTACAGCTTCTCTCAATTCAAATCGGATTTTATATGGAAATATGAAATGTGATCGTTATGATACCGCAATAAATAATGGGATGAAGATAAATGAGAGATGGAAAATAAGCAAAAAACTGAATTCTCGGCCTATTTATTATTTAAAGTATCAATAACAACACGACAATTGAAGTGATAAATTATTGTCTTTTTAATTATGTTTGAAACTTTCACTTTGACATATTTCATGAAATGGAGAGCTAAAAGAATTTAATATGGAAAGAGATCAAAGAGTATAACTTCTTTTCTTCCGGAATTAGTTTTGTTATCCTATTATTTTTACAGGAAAAAAGATAATTCAAGATTAATGAAAATATCGTATCTGTTGCTATCCATGGATCAGCTCAATTCTCTGCTATCATTTATGTATCACAATCATATACCATTAAGCTTTTTGAGGAAAAAGCTAATTTATGAAACTGATAAACGGATAATGTGGATGATGATAATTTTATCTTGAATGGTATTACTTCAATGATAAAATGATGAATCATCATGATTCGCTTAAATAAGTTAGGTTTCAAAATTTTACTTTCCCTTTTCTTTAAGTCTGCAAAATTATCTTTCGCTTCTAATACAACAATTTTTTTTACATCTATCAACGCAAAATGAGAATTGAAATTTATATGAAGCGATATATCAGTATTAAATTTGATTATCAGTAAATATGAGCTCTTTTTTACTTCTTCAAATTGTTGCTGTCAACAGCTTTACAAAGTGAACTTTTGATTAGATGGAATAGTGTTAATCCTTTGTTTTATCTAAATGAAATTGATTATAATCTACATTTGAAATATCTTCGAGTAATTTATCAGAAAGCCTTTTAATCCATCTATTTTCCTCTTCTGATAAAATCATATATGTTTAATAACATGATATTTACCCTTGAAATGCTAGAAAATCTTTATCTTCCTCATAAAATAAATATCTTTCGAGAGATTAAATAACAAAAAAAGAAATTTCCGACAAAATCAGCTGCATATATAAAAGAAGATGAAAAAGATCAGTGAAAGAATGAGATGTAATTGACTGTTTGTATTCTGAATTCGCTGATCTTCGAGAGGCAATTCAACTAATCTTGACATGAAGTTGATACATCGAAAATCATTTTGTCGCAAATTTTGCTAGTATCTTTTCCAGAATGAAAATCATTCGTTTAGTTGTCATAAATCTCTCTTCCTATTTTTCACTTCATCTAATTTCAGAAAAGATCTTTTTTTAATCAAAAATAAGTTTAAACTTTTGGTACATTGTTGGTTAGATGTTTTGGATAATTTAGACAGTCCAAATTAATATTTTTCATTAGAGATGTTTGCTCATTATTTTCTTGATAAAGGATGTAATATTTGATAAATTGTTGAATGGTACTTCATTTGTGTTATTGCAGCCTCATGCTATCGAGCATTAACTTTCTAAAGTGGGCTAATTTTCATCGAAGTGATCTTTCAACGGTGACATACTACAATGTCATATAGTTCATTTGAAGCTTCAGATAAATCTTACATTCTTTGATACTGCTTAACTTCTTTCGTTCATTTACTGAAGAAATGATCAAATTAAGTTCCATAAAAATCTCTTCAATTTATTCAAACAAAATTTCAATTAATTTTTACAATAGAATATAATTAACCCAAAAGTATTGCATGTCATGAATATACGATTTATAATTTTAAATCAAATCATATATTAAAATAAATTTTTGATAATCAAAATTAAATAGGAAATTATACGTTTTATATGTGCAATGATTTCTTATTTAAATTATGAATGCGTCATATTTAAATAGTTTTCAATTGCAGAATCTCTGATACATTCAGAAGTTAGCTGTAAACTGCAATTAAATTGATCGCTATGAATTCATAAATTATAATTCACTTTTTTTTAGTTTTTAAAGCATTAAAATTTATTTCAATAATTCTTCGTAAACATAAAATTCTAAATTATATGTTAAACATAAGTCTGACCATGCTTTAAATATACAAAATATTCTCAAATATTTATTGGAATTCTTTTATTATCATCATGAATTAATTATTATTTACATTTAGTAATTCCTATTTTGAAATCTTCCTTTCACCTTTCTATAATGGCGAACTTATTCATTTCATATATTGTATTGTTTTGGGAGATATATTTCATCATCAATTTCACATGTTACATTGCTTGTAGTTCAATTTTCCTCATAAATAAGGTAGCGACGAACTTATTCATTTCATATACTGTATATGGGAATGTTGCGTTTGTTTTGGGAGATGAGTTCATCATCAATTTCACATATCACATTGCCTGAAGTTCAGTAAAAACACCTTCAGTAAAAACATAAATTACGATAAAATTGAAATCATTTAAACTGGCTTCAATTAAATTTCATTGTTTTAGTTTCAGAAATGTTAACTATGTCATGCAAATTATCATTGCTTCTTCTACTTTTGAGTATTATTAAAGTTAAAACAAAGAATACGAATATTTCGAAATTTTCTCACCGGAATTTTACTGACGAATCAATGGAAATAGCTGACAGTGAAACTGTCAACTACAACAATTACTCTAATAAAGGAATGGATTTGTTGCAAAACACTAGAAATGATGAGGTTGTCATATTAATTGGATTATAAATTTTTTTGAATTTTAACAAATGTATTATGAAAAATTTACATAATTAATATAATACAGATGATGATGGATACGGCAAAAAAACGGATAAAACTAAAAGTTGGCCATATTGGTATTGTTGGAGCTTTATCATCTGAAGATAAAATGTTACGTTTATCACTGGATGATCTTTATGAGAATGGAATAATTGATAGAGGAATTGATATCGAGTTAGATATTTCTTTTAAAAATTGATTTTCTATTTGCTAATTAAATTTTCTTCTAAAACAAATTGTTCAGAATATGATTTGCAAAAACGATTTTATGTTGTATTTTGAAGATTTTAAGCCGATTGAATTTAATTTAAATTTATTCGATTGTAATTTTAGTAGATGTTAACGGCGATAGATTCTGATACGCTAATCTCAGCCTATTCAAATGTCATTTACTTTGAATCTTTATGATAGATGATGACAACTGTTTTGAGTGCAATAAAGCCTAGGAATGAAATTTAATTTAGGTATTTTCATGAAACATAATAATTTCGATCATCTATGATTTTGACAGAGAATAATGTTTTATAGAATTTCATCCCAACCGGCATGTCGTTATTCATTTGAAGGTGCAGTAGTTGCAGCCGAAATGTTTTATAAACAAGAAATTCGTGCTTTCATTGGTCCTCGTTGTGCGTCAGGTTTTTCATTCTTTTGTTTTAATTTAAATTTTTATAATTTATAAATTTTTCTTAAAATCTTTAATTAATTTATTAATAATTAGTTAAATGCAATGTTTATCATAGACAATAGTTAGGTATGTATTATTTACCTTTGATAGACAAAATCTGCTATCTAATGTAGAATCTTCATTAAGATAACAAAGAAGCAGCTACTAATGCGGTTTTTGTTTTTATGCTGCCAAAAGTTAGTGTATAAAAAATAGTCACAAATTAATTCATAGTCACCTATTTTACTATCAACAAATATTGCATAAATGAACCAGCAATCTTTTGGTCATCTATTCACACTCCTCGTTGGTAAATGACCAGGGATTGTTTTTTATGACCTATTATAGGTGATAAAAATATTGCACGAAGACAGGTATACATTCATTATGATACATACACCTTTGCATAGGGAATACACAATAATCGCTGACCATTGCAAATATTCAAGAATATTTAATTAAGGATTGATTTTTCGTATAAACATTTGATATTTCACTCGATCACAATTTTATTATAGAATTGGATGTGGTTGCAAAAATGGCTAATTTCTGGAATACACCGGTAATATCATATGCAGCGACCAATGGTTTAATTGATAGAACTGCTTATGGAACGTTGGCTAGAGTTTCCTTTACAAATATGAATTCAATTGCTGAAGCTGTAGCTGCTCTTTTAGTTCATTATAAATGGTCTAAGGTTAATTTGTTGAAAATATTAAAAGAGAAGGGTAGAAAAAACTTTTCATCTTATCAAAAATAATTATGTACTATTGATTAATTGATTTTACATTGTAATAAATCTCTCTAATTTGAACTAATTTTAATTATGAATAACAATTTTAAGATTACTGCTTTTGTTGAAATTTAACAAAAAAAAATATGAAATTTCATATTTCGTATTTTGTTTAAAATATATATATAGTTTTCGGTAATTATAAATATATAATAAATGTAGCAAACACTAATCTTATTGTTTCTGCAATTGTTTTCTTTTTATATGAAGAAAACTTGAATTGTTACTTCTTACTAGATATTACGATCATACTTGTTAATATTGATATTGTTTTAAAAAGTTAATAATAACGGATGGATGATTATCAGTATTTAGGTGGCAATAGCAACAAATACTGAAGGCGCCAATCGCATATTAACTTTGGAACAAGTGCTGAAAAGACAGCAAATAATATTACTTAAAAAAGTAATATTCGAGATGAATTCTACTGCAGAACAAATGATTGCAAGTGGTCTAATTAATCAACTTCGTAACAACGCTAGAGGTATATCATTTGATTTGAAATATTATCAATTTTATCTTTTTATCTTTTTAAATGATTGTATATGTTTTTCCTTTTCTTTTGAATAATTTATTCTCTTAATAGCTGCAAGATTTTAATGACAGCTTTTTTTTTCAATGATAATATTATCTCTTTTTAGATAATAGTTTTTTTTATCAGTTGTCTTATCAGTTTTATCATTGATTAGAAAAATGTGCAAATAAATCAGAGAGATTTAAAATGCTCCTTTTTTTTCCAAAATAATTCAAAATTTATTCACTAATAATAATTAGTAATAATTAGTGAATAATTAATGAATAGTAATAATTAATGAATACTAATAATAATTAGTGAATAAATTAAAGGTTTTAGGGAAAATTTTTTAATTGAAAATTTTAAATTAAATGAAAAATCAAAAAAAAAAGAAATTGGAAATTGATAAAATTGATAAGAGAATTGATAATTGATAAAATAAGAGAAGATATTTGTGAAAGTTCATTTTTACAGTTATCATTTGCTCTTTTACATCAATGCTTGAAATGAGCAGAGAGTTTATGACAGCAACGTACACCGTCGGTATGCATTCAAATGATTTTGTTTATATATTACCATGGATTCGAGAGGGAAGGAAAGATTCTGCACCGTGGTTTGGTACAGCTGGTGAAATTATGCAAAAAGTGAGAGATCACTATGAAAATGTTATTATGGTACATATTCGAAACATTTTAAATTTAAAATGAAAGATTTGAATTCATCATGTTTTTATTAAATTATAATGAAAGTATTGAAAGATAGTTAATATAATTTAAAAAATAATAATTAATATATGATTAATGGGAAGTGAATCGAAGATATTCTTATTAATTCCTATTTTAAGTTTTTGCATTATTTGAGTATATATTTTAATGGATCCCACGTTGCTAACGACATGATCTTTCGTATCATTTTGTCTCTTCTTCCTTTGCGTTTTATTATTTCACCCTACTGTATGTTATTAATTCTAAGACCAAATTGAGAATTAGACAATGGATTCTAAAGCACAGATCCGAAACATCATGAATCATACTTGACCCTTATAATGATGATAACATATAATTGATGATAACATATAATAATAACATGTGATAATATATGATAATATATCAATTCATTCCATTGTTTTACAACTGATTTGAATTAAATGAATGATTTAATTTTGAAAAGTAAAATTAACAATATTATAAATTTTTTATGTTAATGATGCGACTGGTTTTGATAACGAATATATTATCAAATTTTTGGATAAAGTTGAATCAAAAGGATTGTCGCGTGATGCGTTGGATATGGTAAGTGAAATGAATATTTCATAAATTAATTGAAATGAGAAAAAACAAATAAGTAGTATGAGGCGGTGTTTAATTTACTAAAAACTTATTGCTCACAGTGCGAACTTATTAATTTGATGAAGGATTTACCTGTTATCAGCTAAATTGTCGTGAGTTTTAATTAACATAATATATTTTTTAAATTTTAATAAATTAAATATTTATCCTTTCATAAATGATTAAATCAACTAAAATGCAACTTGATTTATAGAAGTATCAGTTAAGAGCATTCTCATTACATTTTACTTCAGGATAATATCTATCATTACTTACACGTTTACGATGCACTGATATTATATGCATATGCTTTACAAGCACTTTTTAACGAGACTAATGACATTACGACCTTAACTGATGGAAAACGTGTTTGGAATAAAATGAGACGTCTACGATTTGAAGGTTTTGAGTGATTTCACTTTTATCATATCACAATAAAAAAATAAAATGACAATCTAAAAAGTATCATCAATCTGCAGGAAGTACGACAGGTCCAGTTATGATGGATGATTTAGCCGATCGTGTACCAAATTTAGCAGCTTTCTATATACCAGCAAATGGAAAAAAAGTCTCGAAAATTGCTAACATAACCCCAAAGTTGCAAAAAAATTGTAATGGAATAGTCAAAAAATTTGGATGCTATGATCTTGTAAGTATTTGTTTTTTTTTTTTTTTTGAAAAACGAACTGATAAAGTTAAATTGATAATATTAAGAAATTTGAATCTCTACTGATAATTTTTTCATTGCATGCTTCATTGTGAATGTAAAGTTATTTCACTGCGCACAATATATTATATCATTTCTATTGAATATACTATTAAGTGTTAATTTTAAATCATATTCCATTAATCAATGATTAGATTCCTTATCAGTCGATAAGGAAAAAATATGAAATAATTTGTTAAGTAATCATTCTAAATAAATTAAAGCATGTTTTTACCCATCTTTTATATAATAATTCTAGGAATAATTTTAGTTGGTGACAGATGTGTTAACGGGTTTCTGGCCTAGCAATGATGGTTTGATGCCATTAGATGAACCTATTTGTGGTTTTCATAATGAGAAATGCTCCCATATAATCGAAATTATTTCTGGCAGTGTATTAATTGCATTTATTTTAATTACTTTATTATCTTATTGTATTTATCGATACTGGTACGTATAATTTTATTGATCAAAATCAAATTTCATTTTTTAATAATTCATAAAGGTTCATTTTAATAATTTATAAATATCATATTTCTTCCGCAGTGAATCACGCTCTCTTCATAAAATGCCATGGCGTATATACAAAGATGATGTCAAAATATTGGACGAAGAACAATTGATGTCAATGGTAGGTAATTAATGATGTGAAGCAAATTGTTGAAATAAAAATTTTTAAATTTAAAACAATTTATGCCATCAAATTTTTTAGCCAATTATTCATCCTCATAAATCTCATCGCTGTTTCGTTCGCAGTGATACTTTGTTGACCAGAAAAGGTAAAGAAAAAGAGCACATTCCACTAATAAATTGAATTATTCTTTATCACACCTGTAATTAGCAAAGGTAAATGAATAAACAGATGAATTGAAAATAGGTAAATAGAAAATATTTGATTAAGATAATGGCATTTTTGAAAGTTTTATTTTAGAAATCATTGGGGATTTCGACTACAAAAATGAATGAATCAAGTATTACGCAAAAAAAGCATGCGATCGTTGGTAGTAATACTTATGTCACTTATCATTTATATCCACAACGACGTCCAATAAAGTTTGGTCGAGAAGATTTAAAACTTCTCTCACAAGTAATTTATTTTCTTTCATAGTTTCACGAAACTTTCAACTGATCTAAATTATCTTAAAAAATGAAAATTATAAAGTTGAAAGATTGGAAAATCAAGGGAATATATTATTAATTATTAATTAAAATAAATTAGTAATTGAAATGAATAAATTAAGAGAATAAATTAGTAATTAAAATGAATGCTATTTAATTATTAATTTATTCTCTTAAGATTTTATCATTTTTTTTCATATTTTATTATTTGTCATTTTTATTTCATATTTTAATATTTCTGATTTGACATTCATAGATAAAGGCAGCAGTACACGATAATTTGAATGTATTTATTGGAATGGTATTTAATCAAGGTGAAAATATGTTCATAATTTGGAAATCTTGCTCAAGAGGAACTATACAGGTACAAAAACTTTATTGATTAATTTAATTTTAAAGTTACAAAAACTTTTTTGATTAATTTAATTTTAAAATTATAATTCATTTAATAATTCATTTAATTTAATAACTCATTTATAATTCATTTAATTCATTTTATTCATTTAATTTAGCATCTAATTCAATCTTTAGCTCTGAAATATGAGCTTTTCTTGCTTCCAGGATATCATTTATAATGAAAATTTAACTCTGGATGAAAAATTTCATGCAGCATTTATTCGTGATATCACGCAGGTAATATAATTTGAGCTATTATCTAAGATAAAATCCTTTAGGAACAGTAATTTTCTCCCACCCCAAATTGATCAAAACTTTGTGACTAATTTAGATGAATCGATGTACTTATTAAAATCATTGCATATCGAAAATCGAATAGTTTTAGTATTATATTTTTAATTTATGTATTTTTAATTTGTTCATACTGCAAAGAGAATCTAATTCTATTCATAATTTAGGGTTTGGAATATTTGCACTCCTCACCAATCGGTTATCATGGATCATTATCACCATGGGCATGTCTGATTGATCGTAGCTGGATGGTGAAGTTAACCGATTTCAGGATTGCAGATCCAATTGAACGATGGGAAAAGCAAGGATGGATTTCAATTAATGCACTTATTTCGGATGATGACAAAAGTGGACCGAAACAAAGGACATGTACGCTTTTCTTTTAGCAAATATTACATTGGCTAATCATAATTTCTTGAAATTCTTATTTGATTAACCAGGTCTCAGTTGTCATTTGCAATTTAAATGGGATCAATATACGACATGGGAATGTGTATCGTTTTCAAATTTCATTGATCATAAATTTACTTATTGATTGAATCATCTGATGTTAGATTTCTCTATCTTTTCTATATTTTTATTTCTTTAATTTGTTACAGTTTTGTGGTAGGCATATTAATTTCCATTTACAAGTCGTATTCCACTTAAATCTCAATCTTTATAGCTGTACTTTATTGTGCTCCTGAAATGTTGAAAAATCGAGAATTGAATCGACGATCTGCAAGGCATGATGATTGGAAAAAGCAACCAAAATTTTTTCATCAAGCTGGCGATATTTATTCATTCGGAATGATTATGTATGAAATTCTTTTTCGATCACTGCCTTATCCGGAAAACACAAATATAAACGGTACATATGGACAGTATCTTTATCAAATCATAATTTTAAAAGTTTTGTTTCTATTTTCTTCTCCATCATATCGAATTGTTTACTTAGACGCTTGCTTCATAGCCGGATTTTTTTACAATTTCAATTCCGTTAAAATTGTCAATTAGAGTTAGATTCATTTTTAGCTTCATTTGTGATAATGGTATTTATGATATTTGTGATACTTTTGTGATATTTGATAATGATATTTGTGATGCATTTGTGATACTTGAAAATATTGCCATGGAATTACAGAATTAATAGATATGATATCGGATGGTAGCAAAACATTTCCACCGCGTATAATTCATCCCCAGAATGTGCATCCTGATCTATGTGCACTTTTGGAGGATTGCTGGTCTGAAAATTTGGAAGTTAGGCCGACAATACGACGTGTTCAATTGAATACAAAGATGGTCCTAAAAGTGTTCGTTTTCTTTGTTTTTCTAACAAACAGATTATTTAGCAAATAACGTAGTACATAATACATCATTTCGAAATTTGTTTGATTTTAATTATTTGCAGGAAAGGCAGTTTGGTTGATCAAATGATGTCAGTAATGGAACAATATGCTACAAATCTAGAAAAATTAGTCGCTGATCGAACTGCACTGCTTGAAGAAGCGAATATTCGAGCTGATAAATTACTATCACAATTACTTCCACCGTAAAATTTCCCCTTATCAAATAATTTATAAATATTAACTAAATCGTTCGTCTTCATGGAAGTTTGCAAAATTTGATCATTTGAAGGTATGTTGCAAATGAACTCAAACTTGGCCGCTCTGTTCCACCCAAATTATTCGAAATGGCAACCGTGTTATTTTCGGATATTGTTGGTTTCACAAAAATTTGCTCTTCTTCAACACCTTTAGAGGTTGTCACAATGTTGAACGGTTTATACAGTGGCTTTGATGAGTGCATTAGTCGTAGCGGCGCATATAAGGTTTGACTTATATATATAGATGTTATTAAATTATATTGCAATAAAGGTCAATTTTTGTTCAACAAATTTTCTGACTTCAGGTGGAAACAATTGGTGATGCTTACATGGTTGTTTCGGGGATACCTGAAGAAAATGGTGCCAAACACATTCAGTGCATTGCTGATGTCGCATTGGATATGAGAAAAGTTAGTTAGTTATTTGAGTGGAATTGGTTTGGAATGCTAAGTATACCTTTTGTTAACTTATAAAAAACTTTTTTTCTGTTATCAGCGATCTGTTGCTGGTGTTTGTTAAAATTTATTGCCCTAAAAATTTATTCTATAAAAGTTCATTAGCCCTAAAAATTTATTCCTTTGTTATCAAAAGTAACGGAAATCATTTCTTAAATTAGTTCACAAATATATTATCTGATATTACAGTACCTGAATAACTATCAAGCTCCACATCTACGAGATAAGTTGCAGTGTCGTTGGGGTTTCCATACTGGTCCTGCAGCCGCTGGGGTTGTAGGAGTTATATCACCTCGCTATTGTCTTTTTGGTGATACGGTTTGTTCTTTTGAAGATAAAATTTTAATAAAACTAATACATGATTGAAATGATAACTAATGTATGATTGAAATGATAAAAAACCATAAAGATATTATTCAGAGAGGGAAGAAAACTCCAGTTTTGAATAAATTCTTGAAAACCATCTGAATGAAATTGAAATGAAATGAATGTAATTGTTATTGAGGTGAATGAAGCATCTCGAATGGAAAGTACGGGTTCTCCTGGTAAAATACAGATCAGTTCGGATGCTCGAAACTTTTTGATGATTCATTACCCATTCTATGTATGTCAAGAAAGAGGAATGGTGGAAGTAAAGGTATTTGACATTAAAAATTTTTTTAATTGAAGATATAAAAGCTGCAAAAATCGGAAAAGTTATCATCATAGTAATACTTAAAGTTTCAACGGATTTGTTTTCAACGGAGTTTCAACAGATTTCAAGTTTCTAGATTTTTTATAAACTGTGAAAATTATTTTTCTTGAATTGTTGTTCCAGGGTAAAGGAACTCTGTTAACTTACTGGCTAGAAAAGAAATTAGATGATCAATCAGTAGTAAACAATAATGATGGAGAAGGATAATCGATGCATATCTCAATGAACACAACATCTTTTTGCTATCATCCCTATTGGTGCAAAATGAAATGATTTTCAAATTATTTCAAATGATGAAATTTGACGGAAAACACTTACAGTTTAATAATATAGAATTAATGTTAATGTTTACAGATTATTTAGAATAACTATTGTAACAAAATCTTTGTCTATTGCTGTTATATTTAACATTGATGCAATCATTTCTGAATCAGTTTGGAAAAACCCTCGCAGTGACAATTGTTAATTAGGAAGATGTATGCAGTAATATGATCTGTGAATAATATCTTTTTTCATATATCTTTTAATTGCAAAGCAAGCACACCAAATAACGGTGATATTATCATCAAGTTAATTAATTGATAACAATATGGCATGATGGCTTATCATTTGCTACAATTTGCAACATAATCGTTTAATCATCATTAAAGCACAATAAAATTTATCATCTTATCTTTTAATTAGAATAATTATTATAATGAATTAGAAATATTAAATGTGCAAAGTTTTAAAATAAAGACAGGTATTAATTGCATATAAAAAATATAAGTGATATTCCAAAAAATATGATAGATGTAAACCTTTGGGATTCTTCTTTAAATTATTACTGCCCAATTAAGACATCGATTTTCCTGACTACCTCTCTTAATCAATAAATCAATAAATAACGAGTGATATTCATAAAGTTGAGTTACTCATAATTTTCAATTATAACTTATATTTTAAAACATATGACTAAGAAATGTAAAATTCTATCTGACGAATATCTAGAAGAGTTAACAAAATGCATAATTACTTCTATGGATTATATTCACTGATAACTGTTTAATTATAAGAACCACCAAATGAACTCTTACATTCTTCAGCAGTTTTCTTTCCTTCTCTTACAAAAGGTTTCGCTAATAATTTATGGTAATTCGAAAATTCCTGCTAATCTTTAGCTAACAGGTTGATGCATCATAGCATTATGTAAATAAGAACCCAAATTGTATATGAATGAGTCCCTCTCCATTTATGAACTCTTTCTGAATTCATTTTTCTCTCTCCCATTTACATGAAACATCAAACAATTTAATCTTTCTAAGAAAGGTGCATGTGAGACAAGCTTAGAAAACCGTATATTATAAATTAGATAATCGTAGGCGAAACATTTCATAATGTGGAAGAATGTTGGAAATTCAACAGCAAAGTAATTTATTTCCATCAAGCTGAAACAGCATTATTAACCGTTCAGATCATCAGAAATTAAGATATGAAAAATCATAAATTCAAAAGAGCAACAATGAAGTCTTGAAAATACATCAACTCAAGCAATACAAATATATTTATTCATTCAGGTCATTCACCTCAATCTTCCCTGTTTTCTTCTTCATAGATACCTGCTACTATACTAGCTTCGGTTACTATTTTGAAATAATTTTGCTATCAGCTATTAGCTATCAGTTGAACATTTCATCATTATCAAAAAGCAGAAATCCTGTTTGATTGCAAACTGTAGATAATCGTTGAAATTTTCAGCTGAAATATCAAATGTATCATTCCTCAATTTCCTTTACTGAATCATAGTCCACTGGCAAATACTAACTAATAGTTAAAAAACCAAAAAATTTAATCTTAATAGAAAGTGATAAAATTGATTTTATTAATTAGTATCCATTTTTTTTGATCAAACATCAGTTTTTCCAACATCTCAAATATCCAATCAAACCACATCACTTCTTCAAAAATACTACGTTCCAGCGCTATTTTTCAATATTTTCAAAAATTTGTGAAAAAGCATTAATATCTTCCTGCCAAGCCTCATTGCTTAGGAAAAGCAGATTTCCAGAAGAAATGAATTTAAGTCACGCAAACACAATTAAAATTTACATCTCACCAATTTTTGAAAATGAATATATAGTAATCATAACAATCTTTCCTGATAATGCTGTGCGTAAGCTTGCTCTAAATATTATGGCGATAAATGGCAATCAATTGCGCAAGTTTCATTTCTATTTATGTGTTTGTTTTTGCCTAAAATATTTCGGATACAATGCAGATCATTTTATTGAAAATACGAATTCAGTATAACATAATTTTCCAAATTCGGTATATTATAATTTCCGCTAACGACATAATTATATGCTGCAAAATTGATGTAAATTAGGAAAGTTATTTCTAGCGATGATCTTCATAATGATTTTTCTGCATATTCCACAAATAATGATGCAAAAATGGTGCTGTGTTCCATATCCATGTAAATGTTAGTTTTTCCCTTTCTTTTCAAAATGACAATTAAAATAAATTTTTGAGACATTATTTGCATCATTTCCCCTTGTTGAATCTTCATTTCATTCTGCTATTCTTTCATTTACTTACTTTATCTTATCAATAAAGATAATATGATGCACAATTAGTTATATGCAATGAAATGATGGTGAGGATAAATTTACAAAAATAATTTTACTTGCAGATATTTGTACCGGACAATCTACCATGCCAGAGACAATATCAGAAACGCCAACTACAAAACGAGGAAAATATTGATTTCCTAATAAAATTAAAATTTTTGTCATAAATGACTTAATTTTATGATATTTTTGAAAATTAATATTTTCCAGCATCAGCAATAGTTATTACGCCCACTACAACAGCCATCTCTACCGTAGTAACAACAACACAATCAGCAAAAGTATCAGTAACAAAAGGAACCACTGCTATCTCCACCGTTCGACCATATTATTCTGACTGGACTGCCTGGTCATGTACCGAAAGTTGTGGTGGTTGCGGGATTGGACGCAGAACAAGAATATGCCTATCGGCTACCACTGCTTGCATGTAAGTCAAAGTTCAACCAAAAAAAGTACATTTAACACTTAAACAAACTATTAACAACTATTCAGAGTTCTTTTTTTTCTTTAATTCCGACTCAATATTTCATTGGTAACAATTTTAGCGATGCGACCGTGGAATTCAATCATCAGAGTTGCAATCAACAGCCATGTCCATTTGGCAAGAGAACTTGTTGTGTTAATTACCGCCTTGGACAAATCGAAGGACATTTCGCTTGCATACCATACATAAGCTATGCATGAAATAGTCCATATCGTATTAAGCTTCATTATCACTGATTCACTCAGTCTTTAAGTAGAAATTGATTCATTTAATAATGCCTATATACCGGAAAAAGTTAAATGGATTGTTGAATTATGAATTATTATTCAGTGTACACTACTTCAATTGCTAATTAATCATTTTGTATTAACAAATCAAACTATGACAACAATAAAGCTATGAATTAAACAGAACACTGATTGGTGGGATCGAGGAGAAAACAAAATTACGGTTGTTCTGAGAGTTCTGGGCAACTGATACTTCCCCATCTGGCTATAGTTCTGCCAATATTTCAATCAACGAGCACTTTATATATAATGTGAAAGGGCAAAGAGACAGAAGGAAATTATTTCCACCATATAAATGGTAATTTCTTAGGTGCTTAGCTCTGTAGTGTGAAGACCAATGATAGTCATCACTGTGGAAATTTCCAAATTTCTCAACAAAAGGATTTCGTAATTCTGGGGCCAATGAGATCAAAATTTAAAAGACTAAATATTCTATTTAACTAAAAAGTGAAATAAGCCTTGTTTCAGAATAAATAGTAATAGCACGCCGTATTTCTAATGAAAGAACTAATTAATGATGATGTCAGAGACTCAAGTTCATTAACACGTTTATGGATTGATAGTAAACAAATTGGTATAAAACTCCCGAGAGTTTTATACCAATTTGTAAAAACCATAACAACAATCGCAAAATATTATTTCTTGGTTGAGAACAATTCACAGCGATTGAAAGGATGTTGGAATAATGAGAGATGGAAGATTACGAGAAGAAGCAAAATTTCAAATGTAAGGTGTGTGCAGAGATCGAAAGAAATGGCAGACTGCCATTTATGCGAAGTTAAAATTGGATTATGGGGAAAAAGCTTAAACTAGGATACGAAGAGCGAGGATAGTTCAGGGAATGTTGAAATTTACTAGACTTAGCAATCGATAATGATTTAATCGAAGGTGGTTGTTTTATTAAATCCCTTTCTGATCTCTTCCTGACATTTCCTCTCACCTGAACCATCACTATCAACTGATCGTATTGCTACGATCTTTTAACATGGAGCAGTATCGCTTGCCGATTACCATTATAGAAGTAAATCAGATAGCAAAGAGTTGAATGAATGAATGAATGGTGAGATAATTTAGTATCATAATTAATTACATCATCCGGTCTGTTTTGCAAAAAATGACAGAATTTATTCTGTCATACCGTATCATGCATTTTTTTTAACTTCACTCTTCTCACTAATTATATTCACTGTAATATATTTCCAAACCTTTTATCTTTTACAGCAGTTGTACATTCTCAACATCACTTCACACAAGTTTCTCTACTCCTTTTTTTTAATCTTTAATGCTGCAAGGCATACAGCGTGCCGTTGCTGTTACTATTGGTGCTTCAACTCAAATTAAAGCTTTTGTTGGATTATTTTTGAAGCGAATTGTGTATGTTATTATTCATTACTGTCGCAACGATAACTTCTTGCTTAATCATTTTTACATTTTTCACTTCTGTTTTTTCGAGAAATGTAGAAGGAATAATTTCGTCTTTTTCAATTTATTTATTGTCGTCGTATCAGTACAAATGGTATTTCCAGTTTTCTTTACAACTTTAAACAGTTGAAAATTGTTTTAGATCGACGACATCGTTGTTTATGGATAAAAATCATTTGGCCGATGAAAAATCACCTTATCTGCTTCAGCATGCTAATAATCCCGTTTATTGGTCAGCAATTTTTAAATTTTTTTCGATCACTTTATCTTTGCCTATCTTTTTTCATCTTGTTCTGCTTAGAAATTCGTCCTTTTTCAAGTTGTTAGAAAGCACGTTGAACGCCGAAGTTATATTTTTTGCAGGTACCCTTGGGGTAGAGAAGCTTTCGATAAGGCAAAAACGACAAATCGCTTAATATTTCTTTCAAGTGAGATGATTTTCCTTCAGAAATGATTTTTTAAATAATGAATTAATTGTGTGAATTGAAAAAATGAGTCTATCAATTAATCAGCCTTAAACTTTATCAAAGTTCTTTAATATGGAATGTAAACTTTCACAGATTTAAAATTTTTTCCTATATTATTGGATTACAGTTGGCTATTCGACGTGTCATTGGTGTCATGTAATGAGTCATGAGTCGTTTGAAAATGAAGAAGTTGCCGGAATTTTGAACGAAAATTTTGTAAGCGTAAAAGTAGACCGTGAAGAACGTCCTGATGTCGATAAAGTTTACATGACTTTTATACAGGTTTTATTTTCGTAATTTTTTAGTACTAGACTTTGTTGACTTTTGAAAATTTGAAATCTTGGTCTCGAGGTTTGGTACTGTGGTATTTATATCAGTTTAAAATTCTTTTTTTATTTTTGAGCTCTTGCCACTATCATTTTCCATCTAGACTTTGCTTCTGATTGTAATTTGTGTTGTTCAGGTGAGCAGAATGATCTTGGATCTCTTTGTAAATTTTGACCGATCGATCGGTTGAACGGAATCTGTGCTTAAGAAGTTTCCCAAGATACTATTTCTTTTCAGGCAATATCTGGTGGAGGTGGTTGGCCATTGAGCGTCTTTTTGACACCGGATTTGAAACCGATCACCGGTGGTACATATTTTCCACTTCGTGATAGGAATGGTCGACCAGGTTTTATAACGTTGCTCAACATTATTGCAGAAAAGGTTTTTCCTTAGTTTTAGTTTTCATAAATTTACGACATGTCGGCACCATAAAGAGTATTTGGATTTTTTGTCACTATCCCTCCACATCCAGTACAGTTTGTTATTAAGAAGCAACATTACATTTCAGTGGCGAACCGAAGATAAAGAAATGGCAGACGTCGCAGAGTTATTTCTTAGTTCGATGAAGCGTTCAATGAAACCGAAACACGGGGTACTTCCATCACTTGAAGAAGTGGAATGGATGTGTTATAATCATCTAAAGGATACATTTGATGAGGAGTACAAAGGATTTGGTTCTGCCCCGAAATTTCCCAACTGTGGTTAGTACCAAATTCCTGACTATTTCAGACTTTTATACTTTAGCTGTTCAAAAAATTTGTTTTATAAAATTTCTCTACCAATCTTTATTATTTAATGTTTGCATTGTAACGGTAAAGCACGGTACTTTATAATAAATGTACCACATATGTAAGTTTAACGAGAAAAGCAGAGTTAGATGTGGTGATTTTAAATTTGTTGTATGATATAAACTATTTCATAAATGATTTGCTCACCTTCTGAATACGTGTACGTTGCAGTATATTTTGAATTTCTGCTTTGTTTCTACTGTGCTCATGTAAACAGCGAAGCTGGCAGAAATGCATTACAAATGGTTGGTGAAACACTCATGGCAATCAATCGAGGAGGAATTCATGATCATATCGGCAAGGTATATTCTTCTGCTTCGTTGGTATAAGATACAGTTAGATTTTGTAGAGCGATGCGGAAAGTGAAATGAGGAAAGGAAGGGACCAGAGTTATTGGTTTAAGTGAAGTATCTTTAATTCTCGCTATAACAAGATATATATTCTTAGACTATTTACTGTTGTTGAAATTGCAGGGCTTCCATCGTTATTCGGTAGACTTGAGATGGCATGTACCTCATTTCGAAAAGATGCTGTATGATCAGGCTCAGCTCTTGGCGATATATGCAATTTATCATGCGATCACTGGCGAATTCATTGAAGTCATTGATGATATTACAAACTACGTTGACAGTAATCTTACACATAAGGTATTATTTTTGTAATCGGTAGTCTTAAAAAATTCAATTATATTTTTTGAATCTTTTAAGAGGGGGGAAAATAGATTTATGTTTAAAGAACATTGGAGTAAGGTGGTTTCAGTCTGGTGGTTTCTACAGTGCTGAAGATGCAGATTCGTTGCCCAATTTTAGTTCGGTAAAGAAATGCGAAGGAGCATATTATGTTTGGACAGAAAAAGAAATCGATGAAACACTTAGTGATAAGCCAATTAATGGTAGTGGAGGATTGACTTATGCTGAAGTTTTTAAAATATATTATGATATTAAATCGAATGGAAATGTTCCGCAATCTGAAGTAAGTTTCAGTTCTTTTTCGTGCATTTAATTAATTCCATTATATTTGTTTTGAACATGAAATTGCGCATTTGATACAAATAACTTTACCCATATTTTAAAATATAATTGAAGCCAGGTTTTCGATAGAAATAATTTAGCATATATTCAAATCACTGTTTCATCTTTCAATCAGAGTATTAGAGTGAAATTTGCTTTCATGATATGATCATATTTATAGAATCTTGTGCTTTTTAAATACATTTTTTTCCTTCGTGTTGTTATGTCTTATTTGGTACAGATGACTTTAACACATTTAAAAATAGCAACTACTAGGCGGAATTCGCATAAATAAGAATAATAAAGATAGACTATATAAATAATATAAAGGTAGGCGGCTGATAAGAACAATAAAGTTTATATTCCAACAGCATTTAAATTTTTCGGCATTTTTCTGAACAATATTCTCAATTGTAGGATCCACATGGTGAACTGAAATCACATAATGTGCTGAGGGTGAAAGATTCACATAGCGTTTGCGCAACAAAGTGTGGGCTTAGTATTGATAATCTAAAAGATGTGATCAACGAAGCAAAAGCTTCACTTCTAGAGACACAAAAAAAGAAACCGAGACCCCATCTTGATAATAAGGTGAGAATAACTATTTATTTGCTCAGTTTGTTTGTGTGTTGGCTCCTTTAATTTGTTATTCTTATTAAGTAATGATGCAGTATCAAACAACTTTGTTGGATTTTTTAGATTATAACATCGTGGAATGGACTGATGATCAGCGGTTTGGCAAAAGCTGCAATTACCTTACAAAATGAGGAATTTTTGCACCGTGCTCAGCGTGCTGTTGATTTCATTAGAAAGCACTGTATAGATACCGGTCACCTGTTACGCGTGGCCTATGTGGGAGCCGATGGGGAAATTGTCAAAAGGTAAAAAGATCGGTCCTAAACTTTATATGTAATTCCGACTTATCCTGAGAAAACCAAGTTTGAGCTCTTCTTTGGTAAAAGTTGAGAGTTAGAAAGGTTAAAGCATGCTTATTACCTTTGATTTGCAAATTTTAAACAGTCAAAGAAAACAGTGCATTGTGTTAGTCTATAGGAATTGAGAGATCGAAATCAAGGGATGAATACTTAAACAAATAGTTTGTCACCTACCGTCATCTTGGAGTTTGTTACACAATTATTCGTGTAGTTACACCTTCATCGACATACTGCATTGAATGACTGGACTACTAGTGATATAACGGTGAATTTATAATGTTAATGCATATTTTTTTTCATTCGCGAGTAAAAATTGCAAGTCTCTCGGTTTTATCTTCGGAATTACAATTCTGATCCTCATTAAATTTCAGTACTGTTCCGATTCAAGCATATGCGGACGATTATGCATTTTTGATACAAGGGCTATTGGATTTGTATGAAGCATGTTTCGATGAAAAGTTAATTAAACTGGCTGTTGATTTACAAAAAGAAATGGATTACCGCTTCTGGGATGCAGAAAATAATAGTGGTTATCATCAGACAGTTGAAGACCCTCATATTATCATCCGAATCATAAATGGTTGGTCTGTAAACACATCATTTTTCTCATTTATGCTGACATTAATTAATTGAGAAAACTATAATAATGACTTCTTGTTTCCAAGTATATTCAAATACAATATATTGACAAAAATAATGAAATTTTGAAGGAGAGCCGGACCTAAAACGACTGGGCAGATTTTAAATTTAGTTTAATGAATATAATTTTAAAATTTTGTTAGAAATACTAGAAACAGTAAATCAGTAACAAAAAATTCAGACCAGGATGGAGCTGAGCCATCGATAAATTCAGTTGCATCAATGAATCTGGTTAGACTTTATGGTATTACCGGTGAAAAAACATATAATGAACGGGCACATAAAATTTTTGAAAGTGCTGCGCAAACTCTGAACAAGTATCCGTTTGCTCTTGCAAAAATGGTCAGTGCATTACAAAAGTATGTGCGTCCCATCAAACAGGTATCAATAGAATTTCAAATTTTGTCTTCAAGTTATAAATTTCGTTTTGTATATTTTCCTCAATTTCCATTGAAAAAAGGAAAAAACAGCTTTTTCCGCACTGGAAAATATATCGTAATCGTTATAGGTTGTTGTGGTTGGTTCAAGAAACAATGAAACAACAAAACAGATGCTATTGCACGTCTCAAAGCGCTTTGATTGTCTAAAAATTTTGATATCCTTGGATCCCGAAAAAGGTAAATTCGATAGCTGAAAAGTTTGAAACTTTATAAAAAGGTCCGGTTTTTTGATGACGTCATTGTTTTTTTCCTTTTGGTTGAACATCAACATTATTATGGTTATCTAAGTAAAAATGCGGCAACATTTTATCTTAAAAAACTCATCATATCATTGTTGCTTTACAGATTCATGGCTGCAAAGTGTAGACGATCACTTGAAACTTCTAGCAACCTCAACAGATACTCCCACTGTTTACATCTGTGAAAATTTTGAATGCTCATTGCCAATCACATCAGTGAAGGAACTGAAGGATAGATTAGATACAACAAAATAATTAATGTTTTCCTAATGTACCACGAATCATTCTCGTTATTTCTCCCATAGAGCTTAATTTTTTTTGTATTTTCAATCTCTTCATGTTTTATGTGATTTTGTGCAGGTAATAATTCATTTTGGTTTTTTAATTGAAGTTTATATCTTACTGGAATAAATGGTTATTTATCAACGAAGTTATTTATCAAAGTAACTATATTTGAAAAAAAAAGTAATAAAATAGATTTATTGTTTCTTGGAATAAATTTTTTGGAATGAATTTTTGCTGCAAAAAATGGTGAAATGGACTATCTATAATTTCTATTGCAAAAACATTGATAGACCAAATTATGAGCTAAACTTTTGTATTAACTCCTGTTGATAATAATGATTCAGTCTTTTTTTCTTGACTTTTCCTATTCATATAAAGTAACATTTATTGCTGACCTCCGTTTGGTAAAATCTGTTTGGTAAATATTAGGTGCTATAAGCACTTCTCATTGGTGGACTGTTTTATACTTAGCGGAGGATCTGTTCCGTCCAATTCGAAGCATGTTGTATGATTTAAAGCATAATCCAAAAATTTCCATCGGTCAGTACTAAGTAATTCAAGCACATCCTTACAATAAGATCTTACCATAGTGAATGTGAACTTCTAATCATTTTATCAGAGAAGAACAGAATCTTGTATTCTCCAAAGAGGGAATACGATGAATAATTCAAGGCACATTTTGAAAAGAAGCGTTTACTCTGAAAGCTGAAGTGAATGTTTCCGATGACGTGAAGCAAAGCTGTTCATAGCTATTCATTTTTTACAAATTTCGCAGATCGGCCGACAAGTTTAATTTTCAACACACTGATGATAGTGCTGCCTAACTGGAACGCTGTATGCTTCAACTATATTGCAATAATAGCAGCACAAGCAGTAAGCTTTGTTGATAGCTTTGTTGTTGAAAATTTGTTCCTTTTCGAAAATTTTTTAGCTAAATGTATTTATAATGAAAATTTCTTGCAGAAATCGTAGAATTCTTTAGAAATATATAAATAATATTTAAATGTTTCAAATTTATTTTACTCCTTCAATAAAAAAAGAAAGATTATGACAGATGTCTTTCTCATATTTAGAAGACTATTGTTTCTTTCATTACAATCAAAAATAAAATAAATGCATTTCAGATATACATTTTAATCTTCCATACCTTACGATTATCATTGAAGTAATTGAAGGCCAATAAATCATAGAATGTAAATTGAACGATAAAAGAATTAAAGGAGGAGAAAGTTGAAGAAATAAATGAAGGAAAAATGGAAATGGAAATTGATGAAATCGGATGTCCACGAAGAATACAAGTTAACACGTAAGTGTTTTGAGTTAAACTTTTAATATTTTTTAAAAATTTTCCTAAAACTCTTCAAATTCATTCTATTGAATATTGCGCTCACTTTAAAGCAGTAAACCTTGTTTAGCGCTTGAATTCTACAGCACCATGCCATTTTTGCATTTTAAGATCTTTTTCACATTTGCGGTGAATATAGTTTCGTAGTTCAAAGCGATTATTTTGAAAGTATTTCCGAATTCAAATCGAAGATTTGTCAAACTGAAATATTTCTATGCCTCTATCTTAATGCAAAGAATTCTTAACTGATCTAATGGCGGAACATCTTCTTAATATTCAGTTTCTCGTTAAAAGAAAAAATGATGCAGCGATATATGTAACACTGTTCTACTTGAAGTATCGCAACACTTGTCAGTGATATAGAACAGGCGCATTTGTTTGCTTTTCATTCAGCCGGAAAATTTTAAATTTTTCTACAGAATGTTTCTCTGTGGTTTTGTAGAACAAAACATTTAACACATCCTTAAGATAAAATTTCTTCGGAGTCATTCATAATTTTCATTTAAATTTATTATTATGCTACTATTTTGATTAAAATTTTCGTACTGGACTAATTATATATTAACTATAAAAGTCTAACCTTCTAATGACCAAAGTTCATTTCGCTTATTAAGTAATTCGTTAGTCATTGCAAATAAATACGGTCCCCGCGTTTGACACCTTTTTTCCGACAAAAGCTCACAAAAACTGAAAGATTTGAAAACTATTGCAAATTAACTCAAAAATTATAACCTTCCAGATTTTTTTCATGGATGGAATAGAAATTCCGAAATCTCTGCCCACTATTTTCATCCAAATTCCTCTTTTAAAAATTATTCGTTTAACGCGGATAGAGTAATATGTTTAATTGATGAATCAGCAGATAGCCGACTCATTTATTAAATTCATATATACAAAAAATATCACCAATTTCAGAAATATACAAACGGGTGAAATAATCACATGTATGCTGGGCATATTCGCCATTATTCTAATTATTTTGACGGTGCTCTACTATCGATACTGCAAAAGACGTAAGTCTATTGGAATTTTCAAGCTTCAAGGTGTGTCTGTGGAACATAAACGTAATCACAAGTTAATTAATGAAAAACAGGAGAGAACATCAACTAGCCTTTGGAATTTAAAAAATGAATCACGCATCCAAACCTCTGAGAGCCATTCGCCCACACTCATGCTATCCAAAATTACGATATAAATGAAGACTGAACTCATTCTCAAAGTTGAAAATTCCTTGGCAGTTTTTGCATTAACAGTATGGTTATCATACAGTACAATATTAATGCAGCACTTGTGCAATAGGACAATGACAATTCTCGATAACTATCTTTATCCAAAATTTGGAATTTTGTAAACTTAAACTTTGGCATAAAATACTTTCATGTATATACCACGTATCTATATGCAATAACAAATATAAAATTGTGAGCGGAACTTTAGAGGCAAAAGATTATAGTATTATAGCAATAATTTATCGATCATCTGGAAATTAAAAGAAAAGAGAAAAAGTAGAAAATATGTTATTGGAATATCCTCCCAAAAAATCCCATATTTTAAGATTTCACGGTTTGAATTTTGGAAAAAAGAGATCCATTTTCCGCAGTTATTAAATTATGAAAACTCCCCCAATCTTCAGAAATTCTCTCTCCAGAAAGTTATAAAACCAAGCCTTCGCTACTAAAAGTCTAAATGTATAAGTAACCCGGATTTAGTGCTTCATTTGAAATAATTTTCAATCAAAGGAGTCTTCCTTATTAAAATTATGTTACAAACATCTGTTTAAAGAGGATATATATTAAACTACTAAGAAAATAACTCCACAAAACTATAAAAAATAGAAAACTCCTTATTCAGTGCAGCAGTTCCAGAACCAAAATGATTCAATAATGCAAACTTTTTGTAAATCCAGAGTTCCCAAAACTATTTTAAATTTTATCAAAAATTCTTTCGCATTGCTAAGCAAAATCTAACGATGACATTTTGTTTCTGATCTCTTATAAAGCTATTTAATTGCTAATAACTGGCGAATATTCTATGTAACACATGTTCACAATAATCGAAAAATCAATCAGAAAAACAGTCAGAGAATATTTTAAATATGCAAATCTGACAGTTAATACAATTGCGTATAAACAACAAAATTATGTGTGCGAGTGATTCCCATTTCATGGTAAAAAATCTCGTATATTTGAAAATTTACTAAGTTATATAATTGGCAATTTTTTTCTTTTGAGGTTCATTGTTTAGAATCATTTAGAATAAAATAAATGAATATAGTAGTGAAAAGTGAAGATAGTTTTCCTAAATATACATACATATACAGGAAAAGAAATTGCTATGATAAGATGGAGATAAAGATAATAGCTACTATTGCATGCAAGAACTCGAAAATGATATCAGGTAAGGCACTTCCATAAGTCACACTGCTTAAGCTGAATTTTTGCAGCAAATAAAAAATGGATCTGGCCATTAATGGAATGGAACAAGGAGTGTATTAAAGATCCCAGCAACATCACGTAATTTATGCTATTTTTAGTGTTCTCTACATATTGCAACAAAAAAAACATTCAATAAAAACTAAGCTTCCAGTAATGCAAATAAAACATATGTCTTTCACGTTCTTTGCAGAACCTTATTCAGTATTTAATAATTCTGGCAAATGAGTCACAGCGAACTGCGAACTGCGATTTATCAAAGCTTGTTCGACTCACATATAAAATCAGCAATATCTGGTAAAATCCGTTCAGCTTCAGATAGGGTTACTAAAAATGATGCATTGCTGACTAAATTGAGCGACTTTCGTACAGGCCAAAGATTCCACCTCGAGCTTGCTGTATGTTGCTTATAAGATGAATCGGGTTCACTAAATTAAAAACGTGTTTAAAAAGAATCCAGGCCTTCATTTGATTTTTTGTTTTAAAACTGACTCTCTAAGTTGTCCTGCTTCGCTTTCCTTGGAAATTCTAGAACGATAAATATGGCAAATCTTCACAAGAAATTAACCTTATGTCTTGTATATACGCAATAAGTGCTCTAGCTGAGTTTTCGATCATCAGTCTGAACTGCCTTATAAATCCCAAACGAGCACTTCTTTCAAATGGCAATAAATCCATTCTGCTGAGAAAATTTGCAACACGAGGGTCTGCATGACAATTTCGTAGTTCACTGGAAAACCTAATGTCGTGGAAAACATCGAAACTATAATTAAAGGAAAGTTTGAAAGAACTGCAACATGAAAACAGTTTAGAAGAGTTCAAATGATGATAAGTTCCAAGACATGCAAAGCATGATTTTTTGCAAATAGTACCAACATTTTCGGTATTAATGAGTCTTTGAAATCAACACCGGTTCCTTTCAGTATCTGCGTGATGTCACTCTTCTGCTTGAGAAGCTTTAGTATACGATGCTTTGGATGTGGTGAAGAAGTATATACAATTCGACGATCCAGATCAATCACTGATATCGGCCAATGTGATTCGGCACCAGCACACATTATAGTAATCAGTTCAATCTGAAACAAAATGAAATTGTATTAAAAAAATGTTAATTTTTATGGAAATGTTTATCTGTCTTTTTTATTCAAACTTATATTTCATTTGAGGAACTGTTAATAGTTCCCACATAGTCTCTGCTTTTGTGGTATCAAAGTTCGTCGAATTATATCAATAAAAAATGAAATACTCGCTGAACAGCTTGCAGGCGAAGATAAGGAGAATAAGGGTGATGAAATGGTTTAATGCATAGCCATCGCCATTCTGGTGCAACAAACAGGCATAGCGTCAGCAACATCTACAAGAAAAAATGCACAAACATCAGAAACAAAAATGATGAAATTTCGTAAAAATCCTCAAAAACATATATTTGAAAAATAAAATCTACTTTGACAATATCAGCCTTCTTGTCACCAACAATAACACAGTGTGACTGCGATAAAAGTACCGCTGTTATGGCCTTCGCCAAAAACGAATTGTCTTGCAGTTTTCCACTGCCAAAATATGTTTGTCGAAACTGCAAGAAAAGCATAAGATATGTTGAAAAAATTTTGTTTTCAATTTTTTTTACAATTAAGCTAACGCAAGAATGGAAATAAAATTATTCTAACTTAGAAATTCCTAATTAAGAAAGGAATATATCCGTTAAGAATCTACAAATTAAATCTCTACCAATCTCTGAAGAGCGAAGACAAAGTTATTTGTACAACAAATTGCATTACAGCTAAAATACGCATTACTAATAAAACATTTGAATTAGACATGTTGAATGAGATAACAACTTAAGCTTTAAATAGAAAGAAATTCAAGTCTTCAAACAAAAAATACTCTCCCTCCTCATTTGTATTGCTCCTATTCCTTTATTTTGCTATCTTCAACTACAAATGTAAAAGTTTTTGTGACGGGGAAACAAAAAATATGACATATTTCCTCAGCCATGCAACACAATGCGTACCCGAATATCATATGCATTTTGTGACAACAACGGGTAAGCTTCACAAACACCAATAAATGACATCAGCTTCGATATTTCTTTGGTTGCGCGGCATACAAAATCTTCTATACTTTCCTGTAATTTTCAAAATTTCACAAATTTATCAGATTTATTTGCCATCTTTTGAGAACAAGTGATCTTTTTGAATGTCGCATATGCTTGATAAAGACATATTTTTCAACTCAGAAATAGTAAGCAATAACAATAATAGGAAAATGAAACTTGCTTTTAAATACGAGATCCGCAAACGCGGTATCATATCTGTGAATACTTCCTCAATTATATTTTGTCTTTCAGCATACCACTCCCATCTGTAACAAAATTTTCTCCCATAAGTTTTTTGCTGTATCATCTCTCCAAAACGCTAAAACCCCCTGAATGGGATCACCAAGAAAAGTACTGCATTTAAATACCATTGGTTGTTTTATTAAGACGTATAAAAAAACTCAAATGGTATGTATAAAGAATTGTGTCCTTGCTAGTCGTGTATACCACTGTAAAGCTAAAATTCTCCAATAAAACAACCATCTGCTGTTACTATTAAAAAAAGATGAAAAAAATGAAATGGCAAACTAACTTTGAGTAATCACCAAGAAGTGAAATTGCACACATAGCACAGTCATGACGAGTACCACCATTCACTTGAAATAAATATGAACCAACAAAAAGACGACGTTTTGGCAACAAAGTCAACTTATGTATTACTGGATTTGACGGCATCGGTGTGCTGGAAAAATTTCGTTTTATTGCATATAAACTCATAGAGAAGCTATATTCAAAGAACGACAAAAAAATTTTTTTTTCTGATAGGGAATCTGCTAAAGCAATGCCATATGGGTTTACTAAAAGTTTTTTCCGACAAACTCACTCCGGCAAATCTTTAACATTTCAAATATGATTGTTTTTGGGTGCCCAGGAATTTCCATTTCATGGCAGTTATTATGAACTGATTAGATAAATCACGAGTCAAACCTGCAAATTTGCTCGGCAAGAACAAATTTGGCAACATATTCTTCATCAGAAAGCTGAACTGTGCTACTTTCTCTGACCAAATCACAAAGTGTCTCATAATCAGCATGTCCAACATATTGAACAGTTTGCTCTACTCCAACACAGTTTGCAGTAGCCTGCAAATAATTTTAAATAGTAGATTCAATATTTTGAAATCACCGTTCATATTTCACTCATAGTCCTACCACTAAATGTATGAGTAGGTATAGGTGTTAGATAATAGATAATACTTGAGTCTTTGATTAAAAATATTGGAAAAACATCACCAAAGTTCTGAATATTCCGATCTCCTTCCTCCCTTTCGGAGATTTATTTTTAACATAACTTAAAAGGATCAGTCTTTAAATCGAAGCTAAAAATTATAGACCAGAATACCTTCAAACTGTTTCATTTGTTACAGCAGCTTCTTTACGGTAGCGGGATGGTGTATTTATGAAAGACCACTCTTAAATAATTAAAAAATAAGCTATACAGTTTTTTTGATCCAGCTTAAAACTGCAAAAAATCATACCTTATTATCTGTTACGGCGCGGTCATGATCAACAATGCAAGGTTTCTCATTGACTTCGCTATTTTGCTCAATATTCAATACTTCTTTTATGTGTGAAGAGGTTATTGTACTCAATCCACTATACATCGATACTGTGCCTACTATACCCGAATCGACACCCGACGAAACCATTCCTTCAACATAGTAAACATCCTTGATTTCGCATAACCTACTGTATACCAGTAAAAAATATCACATTATTTAAGGACAGATAAATTTTGTGAAAAATTTTGAATACCTTGTAAATCTTCAATATTTTTTGTAGCTGTCTCATCAAGTATTAGCAAATCTTCAACTCCATTTGGTGTGCTCTTTCCAACAAATTCTTCCACCTGACTTAATGATGATAAATTCGTGTCACAAGATGCCAAATTTAATAATATAATAACCTCTAATATATTAGCACGTATTCATCACTGAATCTAATAAATTAACTGAATTTTGTTCTAAATTAGGGAATAAAGTACAAACAAGGCAGCTGGAAAACATACCTTGTGAACACTGCTGTCATTAAAACTATTTGCTGAACTTTCAAGATCGTCATTTCTTGATGTAGAAGCCAAACTTGTCTATAAAAAAAATAAAAAGGTAATTGATGGTGAGCTCAATAATACCAACTTCGATTTACCACTCACACTTAATCGATATTCTTATGGTTCTTCTTTTGCTTATAGTATTCTGAATAGGATCTTCATTAATTACCGTTCATAAACTACAGACTGAGAAAGACAGAATTAATATACTAAATGTTTCATATGATCACTGTCACTAGCAGTTTCCGTAGTGGTCCCACCGATAGTTGAACGGCTTTCAGTCATTAATTCATCCAACTGTTCATCATTGCATATGATCATATTCATTTTGAAAATATCGTAAGGGAGTTCAGAAGCCTGCTGAAAACAAAGCAGGAAGAAAAAATGCCAAAAGACTAGAAGGAATGTGAAACTTAGAAATAATCAAATATAAAGTATCAGTAATGAAAAACTATCGAAAGCTAACATCAAAGGGATAACCATCGAGATTTCCAATGGTATTAGTACACATGGTACATATTTTTATGTCGGATATTGCTTCTGTCAATAATTCACTCTGAAACTACTATATATTCCAAATGTATGATAGTCGATTTTCTTTTTTATTAAAAAAAATCGCGGAAAAAAATGATATGCTATTTCAGCATTGAATTTGATGAGGTAAGCTGCTTACCCTATAGACATCGTCAATTTCTTCATAATCAGTACCACTTCCACATCCTTTGGTAAAGGAAGAAGTGAGACTTGAGCTACCCGACAATGAACTTTTGCCGCTTGACGTAGATCCGCTTGTAGCAGTAACTGCCTCCCAAGTGAAACCCAATTCAGGTCCAGTCATATAATCAAATGATGACCATACCACTTTTCGAATACCACAGAGATGACGGAATGGAAGTTGGATTTTACGTGATGAATCCTGAAAAACAGCAACAATACTGAATAGAAGTTCAGGGGTTAGGATGGATTAGTCAAATTTTGCAACGGCTCACCTCAATAGCTTCGTAAATTCGAAGGAATGTGTCCGCCTCCACTGCTTCCGATATCATTTCCACCACCGTCAACGCTCCCACCGTTGTAAAACTAATTAGCCACCAACACACATTCCTTGCAGGATAGTTACAGTCCTCCTTTTGTGAAGAACGGTAATCAGATAGATATCCGCCCACTCACTTGTTGTTTACGATATAAAGGACACAATGAAAACAATCATATCTTATGCACATAAAAGACATGCAGCCGCTATGTTAGCATGAGAATATTATATTCTGCAGATTGCTGTTATTTATTTAATGAAGCAAATGAGGAGATCAAGCAATTTTCTTCAGTTTTATACATAATTAAAAGATATGTGAAATGCTTAAAGATATTTTATTTTTCCTAATCTTGCTATCTTTTCTATCGTATTAATTGATGATTTTGTTGACTAGAAAAGTCAAACTTCTGAAAGTTTTAATTTTGGCAAGAAATTAACTATCATCGGTATTTGTGATAGCTAGAAAATGAAAGATAGAGAGTGCTTTAAAATACCTCTGAATTTTATCGTTTTATCAGGTGTGTGGAAAAGCAAGCAAATTTGCTTTTCATCTTTTTGTGATTCCAATCGTTCTTTGATTGATTCTTAGAAATGAGATTGAAAAAATTTCACTTCATTAGATAAGAAAATGAAAAAAATATATTGATTGAATCAAAAGCTTCGAAATAATTAAGTAATTGGATTATTGCTTTTATTTACTTGAACTCATTTCTGACAGCAACAATAATTCATCTACTAGCTCGATTTTATTTAGCATCAGAAATCAAACTTATTCATGATTAAATATGGTGGTACGAACATCTGTAATGATAAGTAAATGGGTAAAATGTTCCGACCATTTCTGTTTACTATTTGAACATAGAGAAGAGGAAATTCTTTCATGTAAATAAGTTCGCTTATTTATTTGATGTCGATCAGATTGCAAGTTCATGGAACGATATGTGAACTTCTCTTTTTCTCATTATATTACCACACAACAACTAACCTATAATAACGGTGGTTGCTTGTTGAAATAATGCGCAATTGATGTTTACGTTCATGTTTGATTATTTATATATGAAGGATCAAAGGTTAAAGATTGAGTATTAGTGTAAAAGAGAACTATTATTGAAATTTAAATTATATATGTTATCTCCTATTTCTATTTATGGAATTATAGTATTTATAAAAGAGCTTTTACAATAAATTTTTTGTCTTTAGCTTATTTTCAAATTATTTCGCAGTTAGTGTTCACTGTATTTCTTCAACAGATCGATAGAATTGATCTTAGAGCAATTCTCAAAGAACAATGATTCCCTTTACAATACTGTATCTTTGTTCAATTCCACAAAAATTGCAAAGCCAGATATCTAACCAGATATTTTGGGGCGAAACCTATTTGATAGGATTAGATATACAAACGAAAGCGAATATATACTTGAGCCTTATTTTTAACTAAAATAAGAGTGTATTTCTTCAGTTTAGAAATGACCATTAGTATACATCATATTAGGAGAAAGAATACCATTATTAACTATTCAGCATATGGGTACTTTCTAACTATTTCTATAAGAGAACTACGATTTATAAATCTTATAATTTTCTTCTATTACTTGCGGACAACTTATTTTTCAATGCATTTCATATTGATCTAGCAGTGTTTGATTTATAAATTCTATTACGACTAAAATTGATTTTAGGTTGCCTCCTATGGTACCAAACGTAATAAATGTTTCAAGCATGTTAATTAATCATTTATTTATGGAAATAAATAACATTCTAAAAACATCATATTCTAGGATTTCATAATCGGCTAATTTCATAAACTGTCATTTCCTGATTTCTAAGATAAACATATCAATCAGACATACTATGATATTTATAATGCACATCTGTTATACATGTCTTGAGATTTACAGTATGTGTAATTGCAAAGTTTTAATAGCAAATAAGAAATTATTTGCATAGCACGATATTTTCTTCCTGTTTTGCTAGCAAGCATAAAGTTAAACTTGAAAAACAAAGAATAGATGCAATTTAATAATATATGGTTAGCAGCTCGAATCAATCATTCATTTCCTCTTTTGATTTCTTTCTTGACGTTTCCGCGCAATAAGATCATCATATTCCTTGATTAGTGATATTATGTCTGGAGTTTTAATCAATAGATCCTCTGCTAGCAAAATATCGATAACCATCCGATAGATGAATAAATACTGCTAAAAATGTTCTCTATAGAAGAAAATGATCTTATACCTAAGATCGTAAGTATTTTCTAAAATATTGTCAATACTTTGTAATCTTTTGATTTCACTTATTACATTTCAGAGAAATCTTTCAGTTTATCCATTCCTATATGTCTACTTTTAACTATTAGAAAATGATCTCTTTTATGCAAAATGTATTTTGAAGATTTTTTAGAATCCATTTTATCTTTCTTTTCAATGTTTCCAAAAAATTACTCCTATGATTCTGTATTCTTTGTATTTCCTGATAACAAAAATATGCTATTGCTGCTGTACAATAAAGTAGGATGAATAATCTGTTACTGAAATAAAGAATAACATGTTCTTGTTTAATTGATTACAGTGATCGTACCTGATCATTTTGCACCGAATGCATTCGCTGATCACGTAATTCTTTAACAATATCAGCAATTGAAAGATTTTCAGTTCGTTTAATCCGATCAATTGCCATAAATACGGCTGCAAATGCGCCCGTCCTGCAAATTGGACTTGTACGAATTCGATCTTACTACAATTTTATTTTGCTAAATTCGCACGTTTGATATATTGAACTATTTCACTCTATGAAATGGATTACGAGTAAAAATAACACTGAAAAAATAATTCAATTAACTAAATAATAAAAAAGAGTAATAATTAGCAAGTGAAAAATAAGAATGTATGAAGCAAATAATAAAATCAATTACTATTTCATTGCAAGTGAAACTTCTACAAAAAGATTCTCACCGACTGCAAATTTTACAATGAAAGAAACAATTGAATCTATTTTAGTATCCTAAAACCATATTATTTTTGAACTGTTTCGGTTAAATTAAAAATCTGAAAATTGCAAAATGCTTGCAAAATTTCAAAATTAATTCAAGGCTGCAAATTCAATTTACAGCTCTTAATCACTTGCATGTAAAGCGAACAAAAGTTCAAACCTAATTTCAAGAAGTCGAAAATTTGGATAGAGAAGAAGTAGGATGTGCCGTAATTATTTAAATTTCAGAAGACATTCTGTTTTTCCGTTATTTTTCCAATTTATTACAGTTAGCTAATTCTGACGAAAAGCTAACAGTAATTAATTGGGAAAATAGCCATTAGAAGAACAGTAATTTTCCAAGATCCTACAATTCCTCACTATCAGTGATGTCAGAAAACCGCAACAGTTTCGTAGTATAAATTCGTTGAATTAATCAAAATAATTTTAGTGTTATAGCAATTTGTATTATAAAGATTATTTGTTAAATAGTTAAATTGTTCCGATTATTAAACTATCGTTTTGCTAATTTAGAACATTTTTTGTCTAAACAGTGTGCTTCGATTCAATTTAAGAAGTAGTAATGTTATTGCGAGGTGTATCACAAAACAATACCAATATTGATTTTCACCAGCATTACTACAAAAATATTATGATCAAACAATTAACTCTATCCGTGATATATTCTTTGATAATTGTCTTAGAATATACTAGAACAATAAATTAACAGATCTTTATCACGACAATATCCGTTTGTACCGATCAACAACAAAAAAGCTTCCACAATTACTAATACTAATTTTCAATAAAAAATTTTTCTCAGTTAATCAAAAAATCCAGCTGACATCTCATTACCTTAATTTTTCTCGATTCTCAATTTTATTTCCTCTCATTTTATTTCAAAATTGATTACCTTCCAACTCCAGCACTACAATGCACAATTATGGGTCTTTTTTCGGATAATTTCAGTGTTAGTGTCCGCACTTCACGACATACCGGTATTGATTCTGGTACAAAGTGATCGGGCCAACCACCATACAATAAATGCAATACCTTCAAAATAACTCATATGATAGTGGAATACAACTTAAAGTTAACTCGGGTGTTGAATCAACTTTTGGATAGTCTCTGCAGTCTCTAATAATTTTACAATATTTGAAAAAATTCTTGGAGCATATTTATTTATTACATAAGTGTTATCATGAAACCTTATTGATAATAAAATCGTTAATAAAATCGATAGCTTAATTATATGCTTCTATCCTACGGTAGAGAATAATGATATAATGAAATGGTAGAGTTTACATTGGTAATTTGAGATATCTACTGAAGTGTCAAATTGATCAGGTAGTTTTTTAGGCTAAGATTAACATCTGATATTAACAATTAAATCAAAAACAGTAAGTGCTTTCGGGTAGTTAATTTTAAATGGAATGAACGCAAAAAATAGCGAATGAAAAAAGAGTTCACTAAAAATATGATTATTATTTTGATTTAATTTTCTTTTATAAGTTTGAAATTAATGTCAACTTACAAGCTATTTTAGGAAATATAGGTCAGATTTTTTGATAAACTTTTAAGCTATTTAGGAAATATAGGTCAGATTCTTTAATATCCTGTTAAGCTATTTTAGGAAATATAGATCAGATTCTTTAATAACCTGTTAAGCTATTTTAGGAAACAAAGGTCAGATTCTTTAATAACCTCATGTTTTTTATTCTTATAAACAACTTGTATTTTTGTTTGGTAAACTTTTCGGAGTTGTGCCATAGATATAGTTTTTTCGACAATTTTAACATGAATGGCTCCGTAATCTTTCCATTCCAAATCATTGCTCGGGAAATATTCGGTACATTGAATTTTGCCGTCTTCACTCCATTGGCATAATTGTATTATTACCTATAATTAGCAATCTCAATAGTAGTGAGGTAGGAATAACGATGAAGCTGTAAAATTATAGAGCTAGCAAAAATAATTGATTGAAAAGATTTCGGAAAAGCCTTAAATATTTTGAATGCCTTAGCAGCACAAAAAAGCTTTCGCTGCTATAATTAGCCTATTTTAATTTGCAAAAAAAATGCACTTTCTATGCTTGTTTTCACTGACCTTTGAATCTTCCTGTATAACCATACACCAAAAATCCTCAATAGTATTTGGTAACGGTCCTTGTGCGCAAATGAATTTAATATTTTCGTTAATTTGTACGTATGAAGCATGATAGTAATCCTCATCTGCTATTATTATTTCTTACAGTTTCTTTTCAATTTTAATTTAATTAAATTTGAATTAATTCCAATTATTTATTGATCCGTTAAATATTTCATGTGATAAAATTTTTACTATAATTACAACAAATTCATGGAGTTATTGTTTATTTTAATAAATAGAAAAAGAAATAATTTCGTACCGTTAGGTGTATCCTTAAGTACCACTCGTGTTTTGTCCAATAATTTAATATCTTCGTACCTTAATTTTTTCAAAACTTATAAAACTTTGTGATTGATTTTCCTCTATCTTCTATATAAATCTAATTATTGATGAAATCTAATTTTTTTTTGAAAATAAGAATTCACCGATTTTTATCGTAATTTTTATCAGCTTCCCATGCATTTGTTGTACCAGATGAATTATACATCCTTACTGAAGTGACAAATTCTCGTCTTATATTCCGAATACCCATATCAATAATTTGATCAACCCATAGATCATATGGCGTTTTCCTATGCTGTTCGGAATATTTTTGAGTTGATATCGCTTTCGTGGATTTTTCCTAGATTAATTGCACCAAGAATGGAAATGTTTAATTTTATTGCAATGTATCAGATAAAGCATTCATTCAGTAGGAAATGTAGAATATGAATCTGCTCTATAGAATAATAATATTAACTTAAGGATACACATATGAAGAGATTAACTTAAGGATACATATGAGGATACATATAGGATACATATGAAGAGATCATATGAGGAGATCACTTTTTAGAGATCGTTTAATTGCTGAAAATATTACTAATTCTTTTTGATGTGTTTGCACTAATCTAAAATAGAACTTATCAATTGTAAAATTATAGATTCAGTGTTAAATTAAAATAAGGTAAACTAGAATATTTTCATGAGATATGATGGAATGCAAGACAGTATCATCACTTTGTTGGTCTATGCAGATTTCACTTTAAAAAACAAACATTACTACAGCTTACTACTGTTTTGTGAACAAATTTTTTTCCAATTGGAGCGCGATATTCGCCTGGAATTATACGACGACGAACATCAGCACCCCTCGATTGTCTCTTATCATCCACTGAACAAACCATTCTTCCTTTAGTTGTCGTTGGACGCTTAAAATATATTTCAATTCATACTGTTTGAAATTTTCACCTGATCCTTTTTTTGTTTTCATCATTTATTTTCATCATTTTTCATCAAATTAATCATCGTCAAAACTATTCCTTTCATTTCTCATTACACATATTTCTCAACTAATAATTAAACCTTTTTCGGTGGCATTTCCTTTCTAGCATATGTATCTTAGTCGCAACAAGCCAACACAAACTATAGAAAATTAGAAATGATTTCAAGTAGCAATTTTCTTTCTATATTTAAGGATCGATAAATTTTGCATAATGTATATTCCAAATTAGAAGTGATATAGGAAACGTCAAAATAAGTGACAACCTTTACAATAATAATTTATGTTCTATCATGTTTAACATGATATTCCTAAGTGATTTATAATGAATGATTGGATATGATCTCAATATTGTTAGATGAGATAAATTATTTGTGGTATTTTTTGAGCTTGAAAAATATTTAATTTAAATCCTCAACTGCTTTCTTTTATACTAAACAATATAAATTTTAAAACTTAAGTTCGTTTTTTTTTTTTGCAAAAATTACACTTGATATATTTCATCATTTGTTAAGTGCTTCGATAATGATTACATAAAATTTAAATTTTAAAACTTTACTTAGACTATTTTGCTGATTATCCGTCAAACGTTTATTTTAACGCAACAATGAATGAGATTTATAAAGATGATAAAATTGCTTAAATTTGTAAGATCAAATGATATTGCTTTGATTATTTTAATCATATTATTTGATCTGCAAAGGTCATGGCAAAAAATAAATTTTATTTTCCGATATGAATGAATAACTGGCAGTATCATGAAGTCCAATTTGAAATTTGGTCCTCAGATTTAAGTGTAAAATAAAACTTCTTAAACTATGCGCATTATTAAATATTGAAAGCACTAGAAAGCTTATTTAGATATTTCAATTATCTATTTAGAGGTACATAATTAGAAAATGATTTTAGGCATAGTGTAATTTTAGCTCGATAAAATCTATTGCATTTTTGATTTTATCTCATCAAAAAAAAGTGATTAATAAGCGCAAATGTTGCATATGAAATTAGGCATTTTTAGTTGTGCGCACAGCAGAAATTATATATTGCATCATTGTGATGATGTTTTTATCCAGACAATAACTACGAGCGCAATTAGCATAATTCTGCTTCTTGCAGCTGCTGCTGATTTTGTTCTTCCTGGAGGTTGGCAATCCTGAAATGAAAAAGGTGTACAGTTTTGATTTCTGATTTTGATTTTTACTAAATTCGACGCCACTTCCAATTGCATGAATCAATAAAAAACTTTGTATAAAAAAACTAAGTTTGCAATTTTAAAGTTTTTTCAAACTCCCTAAGTTTTAAAAAAACGGAAAATTATTTCTAAAAATTGTAACGGAAAAAATTATCGAAATTCTAATAAAGCATCGAACATCTTTCATGGATCATAATAATCTATTACCTGTCCATTTGAAAAAAATATCTAGTAAATTGATGAATTTTATTGAAGACTAAATTATGAATCAATTAAACCGAGTAATCCTATGGTTGGCCTCTTTCGGAAAAATGAAGTAGTTACTTTCCGGTCAAATCATCAAACTATTGTTTACTGCGCTGGCCGAACGGTCAATTCTTTTGCCTTTCACAAAGATTATCTTGTACCAAAATAAAAACCGAAAATGAAGTAAACCTCATTCATCTTAAATTGAGTGTCAGGTGGAGCTGCAAACAATTTCGGTTGTTCAATTGATCCAGAAGTTACCATCCGTTGAGGTTGAGGCATAAGCGCAAAATTCATTGGTTGCATACCACTTATTCCACCAAATATAGATTGTTGCGGTACATACTATTGAAGACTGTTATTAAAAGAGACATAGAAAACCATAGATATCATAAAGAAACTGTAAATAGCTCACATTTGTTGAAAACGGAATGGGTATTTGCTGATGAGCGGAGGGTGCAACCGGAAATGATTGCATCGGTATTGATACCACTGCTGCCGTTTTCTAAAATTAAACACATGAAATGATCGGAAAGATAAGACATTTTGAAAGGTTATGCAGGAAATTATAAATTCCAAAAATTATATGCCGTGATAAAATGATTGTAGTAAATCAAGAGTTACAACCTCATTTGGCGATAAGATATTGACTGGTAAGTTTGTTGGATAACAAATATTTGCAGCTGATAAATTAAATTCTTCCACATACCCAAGTTTCCGAAGATATTCAATTGCTAGCTTATCGTCTAGAGATACTACCACTTCTGCTGAAAATTTCTCATTTCTGAGATCAATATTTGTTTTATAATAAAAATTGGTTGAGAGTTAAAAAAAATTAAACTTTACATGAAGATACATATGAAACTTTCAAGTTCAAAAGTAAAATTAATGAGCTTGAATTATTTATTGATATGCTGCATTACACAAAGATCACTTACCCATTTGTCGCTTTCGGCGTCGGTTTCTTATCTGTAACGCACCTAAAAAACAATACTAATTAAACCTAGATCTGCTGTAATCCTAAATTTTAAATATTCACAACAGAAATTGCTATTTTTATGAAGAGATGAATAATGATAAGTGAAATGAAAAATAATTGAGATGAATGAGTATCATCGGAGAGACCTGAAATTCATCATATTATTGTTGAGATGTCTTTAAAATTAGCAAAATAATTAAAATGAAAAGGCGAAATTTTATTTCATCAAACAGTTCAAAAATATCATTAATACAATACTGTAACATAAACGAAATGTTTTTTTCAGGCAGCGATACTACCAAACAAATTCAAAAATTGTTTTTTAAGCATATGCAAAATAAACATTAAAGTTCACAAAGTGAAATGCTTTGCAAATTTGTATATGATTTTAGAAAATATGCTAGCAATTAGAGGTAAGAATTGTTTACCTGAAGAGATAGGACATGGTAAAAGTTGATTAATTTGTACACTGCATGGACAATGATCAATAGGCATTATTGGACAAGTTGTTGAAGTTGTTGGACAAGGACAGAGAACACATTTCCGTATCGGAAGTACCATTTTTACAGTCTTTGACCTAAACTCTTACTAATTCGAGCATATATTCTGTAGCGAAAAAAAATTTCTAATACATTTTGCTTTATAATATATATACATACTAAAGCAAATTTAATAATGTAAAACGTATTTGTATTTTAAATGAAATTTAAATTTAATATCTCTATTAGCATCTTAAAGTGATTTTAGAGTAAAACATTCAGCTACTCGTGTTGAAAGGCGTAACTGTATTGGATTTAAAAAGTGTGCATGACCTGAACGCTGTTCTTTGTGTCGTTAATTTCTTATTGCAGATTTCCTAAAAATATTTGAAATTACAACATCCTTAAAATGGATATCATAAAACTGATTTTTATTCAGTATGATACTTACTGCTACAATTACAGTATAAAAAGTTTTTACTGTTTACCTCTTTGATAGTATCATTTTTCCCGAGGCATTTGTTACTGCAACATTCAAAAATTTCGTCAACTTTTTCTTGCAAACTATGCAGTTTCTGCATTATGTTAGATTTATAATTTTCATTTGTAATAGTTAAAGGTGTTACTGTCGGTTGAACCTAAAATAATTGGAAATATAAAGAAATTCTTTCTTTATTGATTAAATGAAAGAAGCATAATGTTTTCAATCATTTCGAATTTTCCAACTAGAATAGTAATATATTTTTGACCTATAGTATACTAGTAATACGAGCGTGTAAAATTATTGGATATTTAAATGAGCGCAAATGTGACCCTTTCTTCCTATCAATACAAAAGTGTTAAATAACTTTTTATTTTTCCGAAAAATAAATTAAAATTTCTATTAAATAATGTATAGAAGTAATTGCACTAATTTCAATTATTTTTTCAAGGGTTGAAAAGGTCAACAACTTACAACTTCACTATAAGCATTTGTTGAATTGTTGGATAATCTTAAGTATGTAGCTGAAATGAATCGATTTTGTAGTAGAGGAAATATAATAAAAGCAAAAAATAAAATGTTGTTTGAAAATATTGCCGTTGAAAAGAATTTCGACAGCTTCGACCTTTCGAAGGGTTCTAATTTAATAGTTTAAAATTTTATCAATTTGAATAAAATTAATAAAACAATACGTACAGCTTGTCCTAAATTGCTCACTGTCACCAGTTGCATGCTGTGTGAGAACATTTTCTAGCAGTATTAAGATCAGAATAGCAATTCGTTTCATATCTGTGATATTGAAATTTAATTGAAATTTGTTGTGATTTAATTTTTTAGCTATTCAAAAAAGAAAAAACTTTGTCATCGAAATCATCATAATTTTCCAAATATTGACATAATGAATTTGTTACTACTGAGATATAAATATACGCTTAGCAGAATCTATTCTTAATAGTAAGTGAAAAGTATTTTAAAAGTTATAAACTTCTTAAAAATTAGCTTCCAAAAATATAAGTCAACTTGCAAAAAAATTCGACGAAAATTTTTGACAGCATAAATTGGCTTCATAAATCAAAAACTTTTTCTTTTAAGCTAAATAGAATTATATTTTTCAGAGTAATTAAATGATGTAAAATGTTGCGCAAATTTAGTAATAGCAATTTTCTTTTTTGAAAATTACTGAAATATGAAATTTGAAAAGAAAAATAGCTTAACTAACCACCGTAATATTATCAGGAATGGTAGTGCTAGAAACTAAGAAAAGTGAAGTTTGGAATGTGAGTGGATAGAAAGAGTAAAAATGATTGAAAGTGGTGTTTGTTGTGAAGATGCTTGTTTATTGTAGTATATGATAAATACCAGATGAGCCATTTCTTTTATACAACTTTTCTATTTCATTCCATCCTTTCTTCTTCTTCCTTTTTTCTACGCTTATATTTTGGAAAAATTTGTATTATGTTTTTGTTGGTTATTAAATGTTGGTAATTCTATTTATTTCATAGAATGATCGTTGTTGGATGGTTACCCTATCCATCCATCCATCCAACCAACCAACCAACCAACCAACCATCTATATAAATGACCACTCAAAAAAAAAAAACTTATCATTTTAGTATTCTATAAAGTTTACAAAAAATTTTTTTCGAATGCTTCAAATGTATTTCATAATAAAATGGTTGGAATTAGTTTATTCGTAATGGCTGGAAATTTGCATAATATCGATTATTTGCATCAGTAAAATTTGCTAACTTAAACAAACATAATTAATTATTTATAGCATAAAGAATTTTTTGTCTTCTCAACAATCTTTATTTGCTCACACAAAAACTTTTTTGAAATATTAAACATATTCTCGAAATTTGAAAAAAAAAACACTACGAGAATGAATAAATTATGCAAATAACCTGAAATCATATTATTACTACGAAAGAAACTAAACTATACTTTACAATGATCATTTAATATTCGATTTCCATTGAGGAAAAAACACTTTAACAGGTATAATTTAAAATATAAAATTGAGGTTGCAAATGATGAAAGAAAACGATAAACAATTTCAGGTTTGAAATTGATCCTCAAAATTAAATATCTTTTCATTTCTAATTCTTTTTCCCTGAATAGCATAGTCATTTTTAAATTTAAAAAAAAGCCCAAATGTTTTTTTGGATAGCAATTTACTGTAGTAAGTTTGAGGCAGCAAAAAAAAAGGAAACAAAAACTACGGTTGTTGACAGTCTGATATAAAAAAATCATTCCCAAAATTGTTATCTTAACCGATTCTATTTTCCTTTTTCCATCGCATAGATTTTCTTAAGGAAGCGAAAAAAAACATTTCTTTTTCTTACTTGATGAAATCAATTTTGTAATATTAAAATTTGCATATTTTTCATTCACAAACTGTTTCTATCATTTAATCTTCTGGGAGTCAAGAATTTATCAATGGAAGATCAGGTAAAGTAATAAGAGGATAGAAAAGTTATCATTGTTTGTTACTGATGATCGTACCTATCAGACAGATCCTTCGCCCTTCTTTTTCTTTTCTCTCTTCAACATTTTTGTTATCGTTCTCTTATTGCTCAAATATTTTGCATTCTATTTGAATATGCATTTGGTGGTTAGTTCAAAAAAAAAAGAAGTTCAATTGCTGATACATTCATCCATTACCATTCGTTGCAAACTTTTGGATGTTCTATTGGCGATCGATCCTACAACATCCTTCCTATTTAGGCAGTCCTAAACTTTGATTCTGATTTAAAGAAAAGTTTTTAAGTTTCATAAAGAAGCTATAAAAAATACATATTATGGAGAAAAAAGAAATGCTTTTCCCTCTCAAAATTTTGTTCGAGATTTTTAATTAATTTCCATTATAAGAATATTATAGATATAAACAGACAGCTTAGCCATTTGACCTCTATTGGTAGTAATTCTCAGTAAAAATCTGACCCTATTTTTATCTTGATAATTTTATGATAAATTGTAATGATAACATGATGATGGAGGTCAAAATAACATAATCTTTCAGGACTCACTCATTTAAAAATAACACCGCAAAAACGAATTTTTCCGACAGTTATTGAATATGAAGTAAACTGCGTCCAAATTTCATTGATGAAATTATGATCAATATATCATTACAATTTCTATAATATTTAAATCATTTTAAGCTAAATTCAGAGGTCAATTATCATCATTTTTCAAATGTCAATTATTATCATTTTTCAATGGTCAATTATCATCATTTTTCAAAGGTCAATTATCATCATATTTCAGAGGTCAATTATCATCATTTCTCAAAGGTCAATTTTGTATTTTTCATTTTCTTTAGTATCATATAAATTCCCAAAGATTCGTTAAGGAAAAAATTTTTATTTTCATATTAAATAACCGCAAGTAACATCATCAAAAGCAAGGCTATATTTTGGTGTCATCTTAAAATTATACAAATGTAATTTCGTTTTCTTTTCTTGCCAAACTCAATTGAATAAATAAAATATTCGGACATTCGAATATATTATATATCATTGCTAAAAGCTAATCAAACGACGAAAATTCAATTCGTTTTTACCAAAGAAAGGATTTTTTGGGTGAAAAATGTTCGTCGTTATCAGTGTAATTTTAGCGAAACAAAACACTCATCGTTAATGCAGCAATGATAAATGCCTTCATATAGCAAATCTAAGCAACCAAATTGAAAATGCTAATTAGACAATTACCGTAGCTATCTTTAATAAATAACAGTACGAATTCTTTCCAGTCTTCTTTTTTTTTTTTTTGGGAAAGTAAGAGGATATTTTAGGTTTGTAGTAGTGGTAGTAGTTGTAGTAGTAAGAGGATAAATTTAATTTATATAAGTTAAAATATAATTATATCAGTTAAAATAGTAGTAAGAGGATAAATTTAATTTATATAAGTTAAAATATTTTTATACGTTAAAATATACTTATATAAGTTAAAATATACATATATAAATTAAAATAGTAGTAAGAGGATAAATTTAATTTATATAAGTTAAAATATTTTTATACGTTAAAATATTCATATAAGTTAAAATATACTTATATAAGTTAAAATAGTAGTAAGAGGATAAATTTAATTTATATAAGTAAAATATTTTTATAAGTTAAAATATACTTATATAAATTATAATAGTAGTAAGAGGATAAATTTAATTATCTTATATAAGTTAAAATATAATTTATATAAGTTAAAATATTAGTTAAAATATTTCGTTGCTTATTTGTCTTATCCATTCTTTCATTTTTAAACAAATTATAAAAATTGTTGCAAAATTAAGAGAAAATGAAATTATTATTTAATGATATTAATGGGATAATAATTTTTGCCTATTTTTAAATATTCATATAAAGAAAATTTTCTCCATTTTTATATCAAACAAAAATTTTTCATGGAAGATTTCATCTTTCTATTAATAATGTGACCTTTTAACGTATCGTTTTCTACACGTCAACCTCTTGAATATAATAGGACGTTCTTTTCTTTCTTAACTTCCATTCTGCATAACTTCTACCGATTACTTTAATTGATCATGAAATCGTCGTGCTAGCAACAACGATACGTGGGCATAAATTAACAGATGCATT